GAATTTAGCGCTACTCCTCTCGTTGGGGAGGATTACAGAAATCGATTTAAAGAGAGCTCTATGTCGAACTAAATGGCTTCCTGGTGTGGACGGGTGCAGGGTTAATTCGATATAACGGCGCTAAATTCGACATAAAAGCCTAGTGTAGACCAGGCCTTAGCAATTATGGGTAGGTTACTGAATGTTCATCTCCCTTATTTGCTGAGGGAAACCTGATCCCAGTACTCTGAGATTGTTATAGCAGGTACCAATGAATGCCAGGTTCTGATAACTCTGAAACAAAATATTTCTCTTACTCCTTAACCTGAAGTTTCTGGGATTCTTTGGTGTGCCTGGATAAATGTTTGTTCTGTTCCATGTAGATCATTTCTAATTTCTTGCATCTGTTAGGACTTCTTAAATTCTGTTCCATTGGGGTGCTTTTCAGATTTTCCATGTGTTTGGTATGTGTTTTGGCCCTCGATGCTTCTCTCTAGTGCTAACCTTACCTGCAGGAGTAGGGATCCAAGCTAGGCTCTTCCTTTGAAAGAGCCTATAATAGCTGTTATCTAAAGAAGGTTACCCACATAACTATCCACATCAAGCAACTTTTGCTTGAGATTAGGGCTGTCTCAGCCTGTTATATTCTAGTATAGAGTACTTCAGGCTTTAATTTCTTAAAAAAAAAAAAAGCACAGAATGACTTTCCCTGCTGCTTCCCCCTCTGTGTGCCATGTTTGAAGCTTTGGGAATGGTGGATGAGTGACTTGGAATCTAGCCCTCCAGCCAAACCACAGTAAAGAGTTCTCCTGTCTGGACTCTAGTTATCCCAAAAGCAAAATGCATCTCTTTCACAGCCCACTGATGCAGGGTTGCCCTCCCTGAACTGAACAGTTTCTTTTGCACTCCCTGAAACAGCTTTCTCTTTAGCCTGTTGTGCGGATGACCTTGCAGCCACAATTTTCAGACCTGCCTGGGATTGGTCATTCATTTGCCCTGTTGATACAGGGTTCCTCAATAACTTGCCTTCCCTGAACTAAGCAGTTTTTTTCTTGATCCTCCCCAGGCCCAATCCATCATCATTCTGTTGATACGGGGTGAAGGAAGCTTCATTCAACCCAGCTTGCTGTCCCAAAATAAACACAAGTGCCCAGTGCCAGGTCTCAAGCCTGCACCCTTACTGTATTGCCTCAGGCCTTTTTCTTCAGATACTTGACTCTAGAGTTCTGTTCCGTTCACCTGCCTGTTTCTCTAGTCCATCCACTAGGTTGTTTCTTTGGTGAAGAGACCAGAGAGAGAGGCTCTGCCAAACTGAGGCAAGAACAGCTCTCTGTTTATGGCCTAGCTGTCACATAATGTGCCCTGCCCATCATTGCCTCCTGGAGACTTCATCTTCCAGAATTCCCTTGTTTGAAAGGGTTGAGGCCCAGTAAACAGTAGGCTGGTCTTGCCAGGTCTTAGCATGCCAAATTTAGGCCCAAAAAATATCATGAGATTGGCTTAAAAATAATGAGATTTAAAATATACTAATTTTTTGGTTCTCTTTATTTGACTTTGAGACTTCAAGATTTATGTTCTCTAGCTTTTCACCATAACCATTAGGGCTAAAAACTTAACTTAAAAAATAAAAACAGATTCTCATATAATCACAAGACTCCAGGCGCTGGGGTTTTAAGAAAAACACCAAATATTGTGAAACTCACGATAAAATCACTTGAGTTAGCATGTCAGCTGTATAGCCCATTTTGTTTTTTTCCTTAGATTAAAGCTGCTGATTAACAATAAATCCTTTGTCAAGAGGATATGTAAACATATCTTGAAAGTGACTATAGCAGAGGTTTTTATTAAGTCTCATGCCTTGGCTACTGCAGTCTCCTCCTGTGGCCTTAGTGCCTCCAAACCTGCATCCTTCAAGTTCATCCCCGTTCAGTGATGAAGTGACAGCAGCAATTAGAAATAAAAAAGCAAAATGTAACAAATGGAAAAGGAGGGAATAGATAGCTTCCCTTATCAATTTTCTGCACTTCATAATTTATAATTCATTGATTCCAAAGAATACAAAGAAAAAATCCATGTTTGGCAGGGCTAAGGACAATAAGAAGACATTTTTAATTATATTAGGAACAAAATCCTAGCAATGGTGTAGACCCTTGAAATGGTATAATTGTTAATGATGATGGAGAAAAGGAAGAAGTGTTCAATAAATATTTCTGTTCTGTATTTAGAAAGAAGCAGGATGATGATCTCATATCACATGACAATGATAATACTTTCCAGTCCATTAGTGACGAAGAAGGATGTTAAACAACATCTGCTAGTGATAAATATGTTTGAGTGCAAGTTATCCAGGCCTGTTGATGTAAGAGTCCTAAGAGAGTTGGCTAAGGAAATCTGGCCCACTGATGTTCTTTTTTCAGTAAACCTTGAATATCAGGGAAATTCCAGAGGACTGGAAGAGTGCTAATATTGTGCCAATATTCAAAAAAGGGCAAATAGGATAACCTGGGTAATGATAGACTGGTTAGCCTGACATCAATATCTGGCAGAATAATGGAAAAGCTGATATTGGATTCAGCTGATAAAGTAGTAAAAGATGGGAATATAATTAATGCTAGTCAACATGTTTTTAGGGAAAATAGGTCTTGTCAAGCCTGATATTCTTCATCTTTGAGATTACAAGTTTGGTTGATAAAGGTAACTGCATAGATATAATATACGTAGTATCACACAACATTCTCATAAAAAAAATTAGCATTATAGAGTCTCTATAGAATTCACATTAAATGGATTAAGAAGTGGATAACTGATGGATCTCAAAAAGTAGTCCGTGAGGAATTGTTGAATATAGGGGTATTTCTAGTGGGGTTCCACAGGGATTGGTGGTAGGCCCGATGCTATTCAGCATTTTCATCAGCAACAAATAAATAATATAAAATCACTACTGATAAAACTTGCAGAATTGCTGGACCCAGTTTCCCTTAAAGGGCCAGCCATTCTGTGATGTATTCACAAGAACGCAACCTGATAGCAGGTAGGTGACTGGCAAGTAGTGATGACTGCTACTAACTGGCTAAGAACCTGAACCCATTCTGTTGGATTTGTTACCTTGTCTCCCCTGGCCAATTATTTGTCTTGTCCACTTGTAGCATAGTTTAAAAGACATGACTTCTCCCTGCTCTGCACCCCCAAGCACCTCCGAGGTTACACACTCAGGAGGGGTGGGGTGTGCTTGACCTCCTGAGGTCCAGGATCATTCTCCCATTGTGGGTCTCCGTGTTGAACTCATGACTCCCTGCACTGGAGATCTGGATTATTCAAACTGCTACTCCATCGGCAGTGCCTCCTGGGGAAATAATGGGTAAGCCACCCTAACTGATACCATACTCCATTCATAAATAAATACATAATTCTCAAATTACCAAACAGCTCCAATGAGCTTTATATAAACAATAGAAATTATAAACACAAAAAAAGTCAAGAACAAGATATACTAAATAAATATATATGAACATGGATAGATTTTTAAAATATATACGCAGCCATCTGTAGAGGATGCCATAAACCCTCTTTATTTCTCTTTTGGTCACTTAACACAACCACCCACAAAGTCTCCCTGACTCTAGTTATGTCAGCCCTCTAACACAGGGGTTCTCAAACTGGGGGTCAGGACCACTCAGGGGGTCACGAAGTTATTACATGGAGGGTCGCGAGCTGTCAGCCTCCACCCCAAACCTCACTTTGCCTCCAGCATTTATAATGGTGTTAAATATATTAAAAAGTGTTTTTAATTTATAAGGGCGGGGGTCGCACTCAGAGGCTTGCTATGTGAAAGGGGTCACCAGTACAGAAGTTTGAGAACCACTGCTCTAAAGTGTCAGTCCCATGTCCAGGTACCTGTCAGTGGTGCACTTGTAGACATTGCAGGCACTGTGGCCTGGTGTCTTGTCTGGGGGGTCCAATGATCCTCACAGTAATTTGAATCTCGGAAATAGCTTTTCAGCTCCAAGGGATGATCTGAATCCTTCTCTCCTAGTGTAACAATCTTAGATATGAGCTTTCTGCTTTTCCTCTCGGGTGAGGTAACTGTTAGTGATCAGGCTGTTGGCTGTGGCAGCCAGCTGAACTGTCCGTCAGGCAGTCACTGCCCTCACAGTGGCATAGCAGGCCCTGTGGGAACCCAGTTTGATGGAGTTTCCCAACTGAGGATTGGGAAAATTGAAAAAAAGTCAATCTGTGAGGGGAGCTGGATGCGCCCTTCCTCTCTGGTGCTCTTTGCCACCATCTCTCTCGACCCTTTCCTCTGTCACCTCAAAGGAGGTGCTACCTCCTCCTTCTATCTTTCTCAGCTATTTGCAGTGGTTTTAGCCGTGCTGGTCCCAGGATATTAGAGACACAAGGTGGGTGAGGTAATATTTTTAATTTAATTTTATTTAGAAGAAGTCTGTATAGCTGGAAAGCTTGTCTCTCCCTCCCCCACACCGGTTGGTGCAATACAAGATATTGCCTCACCCACCTTGTCTATCTAAACTGTCACCCCAGAGGGATACAGAACCATTTTCTCTCTCCCAGATCCCTGGGGTAGAGAACCAATCAAAGGTCCTCTCTGTCAGGACATCTGGGGCTGCTGGTTTAGTTCCCTCCCTCCAGCCTCCTCTCTGCTTAAGAGAGGGTTGCCTGACAACAGGGCAGCAACACTTCTGGGAAGCAATCTTTGGCCCTGGCTGGCCCAGATAAGTTTCACCCCCTTATGGCAAGGAGGTGGGGGGGGGGGGTTACTGCTGTAAACTCTTTGTGACGGGGCTGATGTTTAGATAGATGTGTTTGTACGGTGTGTAGCACAACAGGGTCGAACCTGGTTGTAGCCTTTAGGTTTTACAACTGTATAAATGTCTGAGTTGTGTGTATTAGGAGGGGAGCACAGAGCGTATGTTGGAATAAGAAGATGCAAGCAGGTTGTCTAGCTTTCAAGGATTACAGATTAACTTTTTTTTTTTTTTTTTTTTTATATTAAAATGTTCTAGGGATTTGTGCCTGGTCTGTTTGGAACTTCACATGGAGCACTTCAGTTCATGGCATATGAAGATCTGAAATTGAGATACAATAAACATAGAAACAGACTATTGGATACAAAATTGGTAAGTTGCCTTAAATGGAAACATTTATCTTTTATAGTATGAGAGTATTTGGAAACCAGAACTGTCTAGAACACAGATCAGATGAGTCTGTACTGTTGTGCAATTGCCACAAACTACCAATTGTATTAGCTATTAATGTTATATTAACTTTTGACAGATCACACAGGAAAAATAAGGAAAATACTCAGTTTTTTCACTTTCAACTTTTAGTACAAATTACCTCATCACCAGCCAATTAGCACTGTTTTTACATGTTGGAGAAATCCACTTTTCATTTGAGAACTTGGGAAATCTTGTTTTTTGTTTTGTTTTGTTTTTAAATTAACTTTTGTTGCGTCTGACGAAGTGGGTATTCACCCACGAAAACTTATGCTCCAATACGTCTGTTAGTCTATAAGGTGCCACAGGACTCTTTCTCGCTTTTTACAGATCCAGACTAACACGGCTACCCCTCTGATATTTTGGGAGAATGTTTGTAGTTCCACAAATATAAACAAATAAAAAAGTAACTGTACCAAAAAAAATAATTTATAATATATTTTTTAGGATATTACTTAAGTATGCTATTGAACTTGTGGTATAAATGAGAACATCAGTATAATCAGTTTTTACACCAAAATAAGTACCTCTAATGCCAGTATTAATGTGTAATAAACATCAGCACTTATTGGAACTTGTATACCCTTCTTATAGGAAAAAAAATCTAGAGTACTGCTCTGTTAGTGCTTTAAAAAGCAGTTTGATAGTTCCCAGCATTTTATTTAGTTATTTGTAATTTGACTTAAACTAACATTGGTAACTTTCTTATAATTTTAGACTGCTTTAGAATACATTACCATGGCAGCACTATCCAAAATATTTGCTGTGTCAGCAACATACCCATATCAAGTAGTGCGAGCTCGTCTTCAGGATCAACACAATAGGTACTCTGGAATGGTTGATGTTATTCGCAGGACGTGGAGGTAGGCATAGAGAAGTAAAAATGCAATTCTGAAAATGGCATCACCTTAATCAACAGATCTGCTCCTGGTGTGTAGTCAGTGTTGTGGCTGCTGACTTCAGTGACACATTTTTATTACTGTTTTTTTCTGTTGGCTGTGTTGGTTCTGCAGGGCCAAGTGTGAATTGGATTCTGTTCCTCCTAGTGCATCACCTGCTCAATGGTTATTTACTTAGGGTTTGTCTTCACGTACAGCACTACATTGGCACAGCTGCACTGGTGTGCCATTGCAGCACTTGAGTGAAGACGCTAACACGCTATTGGGAGAGCTTCTCCTCTCAGTGTAGTTAATCCACCTCCCCGAGAGGCGGTACCTATGTTGATGGGAGAAGGTCTCCCATTGACATAGCGGTTTCTACACAGAGGGTTAGATCAGTATAACTACGTCACTCAGGGGTTCGAAAGTGCCACACCCCTGAGCAACGTAGTTATACTGCTATAGATCTGTAGTGTAGACCTGAACTTACTTAAATCTGTACAAACTCTTTGTAGTCTCTGTGTGGTTGCACAGGTGCTAGAATTTGAAGACACAGGAGAGGTGTAAGACTGTATATTGGGGGCGGGGAGAGACATTGTGGGCTTCCACGTTTGTTTGTCTCAGTGATTTTTTTTCATTCAAATGTGCTTAAAAATGCCCTTTTTCCCCCTCCAAAGGAAAGAAGGAGTTCATGGATTTTACAAAGGAATCATCCCCAATGTGATCAGAGTGACTCCTGCCTGCTGTATCACCTTTGTAGTGTATGAAAATGTATCTAATTTTTTGCTTAATTTTAGAAAAGAGAATCATTAAATTAAAGCTAGGAGTTTGCATCCAAAGGAGTTTACTGTCCTTTATTTTTTGAAACTTGTAATCCGAGAGAAATATTGTACAACTGTCTAGCTTGAGATTGTGAACTGCTCCAGTAATCAATGCAAGAATTTGGGGATCAGAAAACCCAAACTGCCTTCTCTTCTATTGGGGCTCTCCTGACCCCTCTTTTCCTCTCTTTTCTGTCAATCAGCAGCCTCTGCCTGAAACAGCTGTTCCCATCCCAACCTTAAAACAGCACAGTGACGGGATAAAGGCAGACTTGCAACAGCTATGTCCTTCGATTAACTGATCTCTCTAAATCATCTTTTCCTATACAAGAGCAAGAACCTGATGATGTCCAGGGTTAATTGAGTGGGGTTGTGAGGACATCAAAAGTTGTGATAGGTTCCAGATCTATCAAACACAGGGCCTCTCTTTGGCGGTCTCCCCACAGAACTGTGTACACGTTTGTCCTCATGGTGGTCTGGAGTTTTCTAAATCCCATCCATGTGTAATTTGTCAGGTTTCAGAATTACAAATGCCCTGATTGCAGTGTGTGCGCAGTGCAATCCCTGACTCACTGGAGGAGACTGCGGGGGCGGGGACAGCACAAACATTTAGAGTACCTTTAAGGTACAGTGTGGCTGGAGACAGTGAGGAGAAGGGCTTTCACCCAGCCCATTATATTAAAATCTGATAAACCTCCAGTTTTAGTATAATGTCCAAGGCATCTTGCAAAATTTTTGCAGCATCAGACCTAAATCAGCAGTTAATGTGTCACTGGTCACTTCTCCACTTTTTTCCTCTTAGAGGGAAAGACAAATTCTCTCACTTAGTTACAGAGATTACATGTAAACTCCAGGTTGAGTTTACATTGAAGTAAAAGGACATGTTCAGACACATAGACATGTTTAACAAATAGCTTGGTGCTTTTGCACTAGTTTTTGTAAATAACAGCAGTTTTCAAAGTCTTATTTTAAAGATGGCTATTTCAAAATGTTGGTCTTATTTATTCAGAGTGGTAGCCGTGTTAGTCTGTATCAGCAAAAAGAACGAGGAATACTTGTGGCACCGTAGAGACTAACAAATTTATTTGGGCATAAGCTTTCATGGGTAAAAACCCACTTCATCAGATGCATGGAGTGGAAAATACAGTGTGTGTGTGTGTGTGTGTGTGTGTGTGTGTGTGTGTGTGTGTGTG